GGTCTTGGAAGCCAATGCTTCCGAGGCCTGTATGGGTAGAACGATTGATCTCCAAAACACCTTAAGTGTGTGCTACACGAACGCTCGTAGTCTTAGAAATAAAACGTCCGAGCTAAGTCTGATGGTGGAAGAATTATGTCCCGATATAATCGTTGTTACAGAAACTTGGTTCACCGTTGATATAGACTGTTCTCCTTTCATTGCTGGTTATATCTGTATCAGAAGTGATAGAGTTTCAAGTCGCAAGGGGGGAGGTATAATATTTTACGTTAGGGATCACTTTCGTATACAATCAACCATATCGGAGGCTCATATCAGTGGCACATGTGAGGTTGCATGTTGTAAGATTAAATCTAGAAATGGGTTAGTGACTATAGGGGGAATATACCGTAGTCCGTCTTGTCTGGCTGACGACTTTATCCTAAGACATATCTGTTCTTGGAGTATGGCAGAATGTTGTCTCATCATTGGGGACTTCAACGCACCGCATATCAACTGGATAGAGCTTACAGCTCCAGGTAGTGGTTTCGATAGCGACCTTTTATCTACCGTTATTCAGTGTGCACTTGTACAATGTATCACAAAACCGACACATATTGATTTGCAACATGTTCCGTCACTGCTGGACCTCGCCCTCACCCACCACTGTGAGGATGTCTTTGATATCCAGCACCTTCCTCCACTAGTGAACAGTGATCACGTTGTAATTCACTTTAAGTTTAGGACGCATGGTATACAATTCGTATCTGCTCCACCCCGTCCCAATATCTGGCGAGCTAATATTCCGGAAATCAGAAACCGTGCTATCTTGACCGATTGGTCGGTCGACACGGATGGATTGATCGAAGACGAATGGAATAAGTTTAAGGCTACATTCGAGTCCGTAACGTCGCCGTTTATCCCATGGTCAGCACGTAAGCTATCACATTGCCCTCCATGGATTAATAAGGAAACCCGGAAGCTGTTAAAGCGTAGGAAACATTTCTGGGACTTATTCTTGTTGACAGGTCATGCACCATTTAAGCGTGAGTATCAAAAATACCGTAATATCTGTAAGAAAACCATAGCGAAATCCCGTACCACTTACGAACGACAGTTAGTATATGATAGCCGTACTTGTCCGAAACGATTGTTTTCGTATGTTAAACGGCAAATGAAACGTAGTGATGGTATTCCCCCGTTGCTGTTACACGAAAATTCAGAATTACTAGCTGAATCAGATCGAGCAAAAGCTGAGACTTTTTCAGATTATTTTAGCAAAGTCTTCTCTACGTTTATTGTAACAAATACTTGTCCCACTCACACCGAGATACCAACCATTGAATCTGTACAGGTGACTGAGGAAACTGTCCTTCCGTTGATAACTAACCTCAAACCTGGTAAGATACCGGGCCCTGACGGGTTACATCCACGGTTGCTATCATCTCTTGCGGACATTATTTCAAAACCGCTTGCGACACTCTTCAACATGTCCCTCTCACTCGCTCAACTCCCTAGAGATTGGAAGGACGCTATAGTTAGTCCTATATTTAAGGACGGTCAGCGACAGATAGTATCTAACTACCGGCCTGTCAGTCTAACTAGCATAGTCGTTAAGTTACTCGAAAAGATAATCCGGGTTAGGTTGCTAAGCCACATAGATTCACACAATCTGTTAGCTCCTGAGCAACACGGATTTCGTAACAAGCGTTCTTGCTTGACTAACTTGCTTATTGCGAGGGAGGATTGGACAGCAGCCCTAGATCACGGTCTGTCTGTCGACGTGATATTCATAGATTTTAGCAAAGCGTTTGACAAGGTTTCACACGTAGGTCTTATGCAGAAGCTCACGAGCTTCGGAATAATAGGTACTGTACATGAGTGGATAGGAAATTTCTTATGTGACCGCAGACAGAGAGTGAGGGTCAATGGAACGCTATCCGATTGGAAGCCGGTCAAAAGTGGTGTACCCCAAGGCACCATCTTAGGCCCTCTGCTCTTCCTTCTCTACGTTAATGAGTTACCACTGTTACTTAGGTCGTCGACATTATTGTTTGCAGATGATGTAAAAATCTGGAGAACAATAAAATGTGCGGCTGATCATGTGGATCTTCAAGCTGACTTAGACGATTTAGTTAGATGGGCTCGAGAGTGGGGCTTAGAAATCAATGCTAGGAAGAGTGTACTAATGCACGTCGGTCACGGTAATAGTTACCGTTACACTATTGAGGGTAAACCTCTTCCATGCGTTCAAGAGCATAAGGACTTAGGAGTAATATTAAGTCATGACTTAAAAACAACTGCGCATTGCAAAGCAGCCGCTGTCAAAGGTTTTCGTGCGTTATGGTCACTTCGCCGAGCGTTCAAATCTTTTGACGAGGAAACGTTTCGAATTTTATATCCCATATATGTTAGACCACATTTAGAGTACTGTATCCAAGCAGCTAGCCCGTGTCTAGTAAAGGATACTAACTCCCTTGAGCGTGTCCAGCGTGTGGGAACGAAATTAGTGAAGGGTCTTTCTAGACTCCCCTACGATGAGCGCTTAAAACGCCTAAATCTTTTCCCCTTATCGTATCGTAGGACACGAGGTGACCTTATACTGGCATTTCGTATCTTTAATTATGATTTGGGTGTTAATATGTCTTATCTTTTTGCTCCCTCCAGCACTAATAATCTCCGAGGTCATAGCAAGAAGGTTCATAAACCACGATCTAATAAACTTAAAGTGGGATCCCGTTTTTCTCATCGAGTAGTCAATCATTGGAACGCCTTACCCGAACAAGTGGTATCAGCCCCATCAGTGAATACTTTCAAGGAAAAGCTGGACCTTCACTGGAAAGCAATGTGTCAGGATTAACACAGGTTCATCAACCTACTATCCTTATTACTGAAGACTGAAGACTGAAAAGCGCTAAAGGTCTCCTTTTTCACCTACCTTGATAAAATAACGTGAAACTCTAACTCTTTGTCACTCTATTTTTGAAATGTCGCAGAATTGTACACTTTTCGCTTAATCGCACTCCAAATTGCCTACCTTCCTTCTATCCCAAACTGTCTCCTATGTTCGCATTTATTCCCACTACAAAACACACGACGACTACATTCAAAAACGACATATAGGTAAAGACACTCGTCGGCAAGCAGTAACATTGAAAATCAAGTTAAATACTAAAGTACACTTTAATAATAACGCCTTCACTACAATTGTAGTGTTAATATTCCTAATCAAAATAATCTTGTGAATTCTGAAATTTAATAAACGCAAAGATTCACAACAATGTCTAACAGTTATAGTTCGTTAAGCAACTCTCGATCTGAAGTATAAATTACGGTTACGTTCGTTAATACTGAACACCGCCTGTAGCGGAAAGTTATAACCATTGAGTAGTACATACATGTTCTTTTTTTTCTCTGGGATACTTTTACAGTTTTTCCCATGTCATGAAAACACCCTTGCGTCCCAATGTCATACAGTTTATCAATTTCTTTTTCGGTGACGGATGATGATAAGAACTGCGATGTTATTGCGTCTAATGATTAGAAAAGGGAAGACATATAGTTCTTAAAGCTTATTCTTACCATGCGCTGACTTTTTGACTCTTATGTGATACGTCTGAACTAATGAAGTGTGTGTTGTAAACCATGATGTTATTGCTTGCCAATGAATGTCCCTAACCATATGTCGTTTTTGAATGTAGTCGGTAGTAGTCGTCGTGTGTTTTATAGTGGGAATAAATGCGAACATAGGAGACAGTTTGGGATAAAAGGAAGGTAGGCAATTTGGAGTGCGATTAAGCGAAAAGTGTACAATTCTGCGACATTTCAAAAATAGAGTGACAAAGAGTTGGAGTTTCACGTTATTTTATCAAGGCAGGTGAAAAAGGAGACTTTTGGGTTCGTTTCTCATTTTACTGACAGAATTTTCTTGTTTTCCCTTTTTGATTGCTTCGGTTAATATGGAAAATTAGTAGTTTTACCCATGAGCTGTTTTTCTCACTGTCATTATTCTCCTACAGCTACTTCAGTCATTTCAAAGTACGAAGTTTTGGCTTCGTTCGTATTTGTCTTATTGCTCGCACTCATCAAACAGGTAGTTTTTTGTCTCTGGATTCATAGTTTAACTACATATTCCACTTGTTAAAAGTCTGTGGTTGTACGACTTTTGTTTCTTTGTTTTCATAAAAATTCTCATGTTTAGCATTCACATATGGATGACACATGCAGTATTGTTATTGAGGATTTGGCAAATACACATAACGTGAAACCGGAATCAGTGGAAACATGGTTAGCACCATTTGGTGTTGTTAAATGTAAGTGTTAAACTGTGGCAGAATCTTGAACTTCTTTAGGTGTATTTCGAGTTCTAAATTTCAGTTCCTACTTATTTTAGATGATTTTCTATTTGACTCCACCCTTGTGGTGACCAAAGGGAATGTATTAAATATCGAACGGCCAAACACACAAATAATGGGAAAAATTATTTTTGAAATAAGACTTTCATTTACTGAAAGTATAGGCAAAACATTATGCAGTATTTCACTATTGATTATAAGTTGTTTCATGAATTCAATGTTCGATTTATTCAAACACTTTAGTCCTTTGTCACTCACTGAACTTGGTACAAAATAGAAGTGAAGTGACTTTAGCTACAGAAGCATTAAAACTAAGGGCGAATGGCCAACTTTTTTATAGTAGTTTAAAACTTCTTACTATCACGTAAAAATAATCATACACTTGGTATTTGTAGTAAATGATGATTGTATCCTCAATGGTGACTGGCTTCAAGGTAGACATTTTGTATTTTTAGTAAAATGTTGTAACCTATAGAATCAACCAAATATAGATTATATATAGGTAACTGTTTTGAAACTTTTCTACTTCCATTTGTCTCCTTTTATAATCAGACCTGTCTTGTTCATTCTTGGATACAAGATTTTAACGTTTGTTATGCCATTAAACTAACTGGCTCCTTACACGAAGTACCTATTTGTACATTTCGTTTTTAAATAAGTTTTAAATTAACTGAAACTTTTAATGTAGAAAATTTTAAGAATACTAGTTTATTACTTTTCATCCCAATAAATAGGTACAGTAATTTACCTTACGTTTTCACTACCCATGTTTTTGCAGTCGTATGCTAGCTTCTTGCTACATTTTTCACGAAAGCAAAATAAACTAACATCAACTGAACTTTATCTCCTAATAACCTGTACTCTTGTTTGTTTGTCGATTGCGTGTGTAGCTTTTTTCCTTTCACAATATTGTAATTGAACTTTGTATGACTCGTTTTTTGGTGTATCCTATTGTACTAGAATTTATATATACTACAAATTCTCGTTTCAAATGTCTACTTATCCAAGTAATACACGACTAGGATATTTTAAGAAAACTTCAGATTGAGCAAACTTAACTGTTGACGGATCTACTTTCGGTTAAAGAAAGTTCTCAGGAAATATTTACTTGGTAAATAATTATTTCCATGTTGAAATACCATTATTGGCTACTATTATAGTTATGAATAAATTGTAATTTTCTTGACATTTCTGTCTAACTTTCAACAACCTTGATTTTATAGTCTTTTAGGTAGGAGTGAATGTTTAAGTTTTCGGTATAACTATACCGTACCGACAAACGAATAAAATTTCGGTTCTTGTGTTTTGAGCGAAATTCGAAAAACGAAGAATAGCTTAGACTCCATTAACAGCGAACTAAAATCTGCCAAACTTTTTACAAAAATGCCTGAAAATGATAATTGTGAGAAGACAAAAAGTAGGGAGACACTTGAGTGTCTTTATGAGAGTGGTTTATTTTGCATGAAAAATAATGAAAAACAAATGGAATTAAGATGTATGCAGCATTTTATGATTTATGAGCTTTTTGAGGTAAATCATAGGTTTTTGATGCTTGAAATCAAAGAACCAACTGCATAAGTATTCTTATGCAGATGGCTATAAAGCACTTCCGTCTTAACACTAACTCATAACCCCAAATATTTTTGGTTTTTTGAACCAAATTGTTCATTTATGTCATCTAAACTCTTATCGTCTAATGGTTTAACGAAAGTTTTCAAGATCATGTGTGGAGTTAATGAATGTTGGTGACAAGTATATTTATACACAGTTGCTTTTTGAGTATTCGGCATTGATCATTAGTAGGTAGAAATCTTTTCCTTCAGTCAGTGAGTTACAGGTCAAAACCTTGCAGCACTTCATTTTGGATAAATGTTTATTATCAGTGTGTGACTAGAAACCGGTCACAAATATATACTCGTTAAACGAGTTGCTATAAATTTACTTTTCAGTGGGTGTATTTATATCTTTTTAGCTATATCTATTTACCGACGTGTGATCTTCGTGGAGTTCGAAAGTCCTTCAGCGGCGGAAAATGTCATAACTAGTGAAAATGGGAAGATGTTTCAGAATAGTTATGTGTCCATACGAAGTCCACAACCATGGGACTTGATGGTTGCTGGAGATCTTGTTACTAAATACGAGGTGCCAACTTCATCTGAAGCCAATAAAGAAGCTGAAGTGGAAGTAAAAGACGAAAATGCATCTAATGGCAATGTTCATACGGAGGTTGAGGAGTGAGTTTATTTTCACTAGTCTATCGTTTATAAGCGTCTCTGTCATTTGGAGCGATAGTTCTCTTACTTATTATCCTTTGGCGAGAAATTCCAATTCTGTATTCTGTTGGAGTTTTGACACCGTGCATTCAGCACTTTTACTTGCAAAAATCAAGTTAAGTATCGATCACCAGGACGCAGCTTCATGTTGATTTTGTCAGTGAGGCATTATTGTCCAAATACTTTATGTTGTGGTAGAAAGTCTATCTCATGGCTGCTTAGATAGGGAACCAGGGGCTTACTGGTTAGGGCATTCAACTTTAGGCTACTAAGTCCCTCACACTTAAGTTCTGGTTGATACCCAGGTGAATAAGATAACTGTCATAAAATGAATTGTCGCTGTTTTGGAGAAGTATTTGGATATATCTCCCAAAAAACATACCTAAAGTTTCTAAAGGTTTTCTGCTGATGACCTCCCCCTATAATTATTTCTGAGTAAGTTTGATTAGCGTTTTCTATCTTTAGCAGTAGTGTTGCTAATAAATCATACTTTCTTGATTGAAGCACTATTACTATGGATTGTGTTCATTACTGTAAGTCGACATCTCACTCTGTGATGTGTGGCAGTGGAAGTATAACTGGTTGTTGAGTGTGGGCAAACAGCCACAGCCTACGGACTATTAAATATGTGCTTTTCCTTATCATTAATTTCTACTCTGGCCTCACTGTGTGAGACTACTTGTAGTTGTGTTGAATTAAGTGTTCTCTAGTGTTAATCTGATTCTCTATTTTGGGTCGCGAATCCTGGTTCTGATATAAAGTGATTACTCTTATTAACGTATTATCGTAATGTACATGTGAGAGGAAAAAAAATATTGTAAACCACCAGTTACATTACTCTGCCATATTTATTGATACTCCCTTGTATGTTGTTGACATAGAACCTTGAGCTTAGGTTTTATGCTAATCAAATATCTCAATGGGTCTGATCGAAACGCGCAGTACAGTCTGTTAAGTCACCAAGTATTGATACCATTCGTAAAAGTTGTTAGATTTTCATAATAGCATCTTCACAGTGTTGTACATCAGTAATTGTAGACTGTTAGTAACACGGCACAGAATCAATCACAATAACTTGAGCGAATTCAACACATATCTTTAAAATGTGGAACATTTTATTGCTCATAAATTTAAATGACTAGTTGTTCATACCTATACAATTTGACTTTCTTTCCTTTATTATTGTACTTATTCCATAATTGTGATAATGATGATATTTTAGGGTAAAAAAATTAATCACACATATAAAATATTTGGATAAAGATGAACTCTGGACGTTGTATAATGCATTACAAGATATGCGAAATGAAAGGGGAGCGAAGACTAAAGTTAAAACTCGTAAGTTTCATATTTCTGCAGAGTACAGCTGATCTTTTAAGCCATCTATCTCCCATAAAATTACTAGGAAGTTTAATTTTTAATTTACTTACTATTTATTTAACCATAATTGAATTTTGTTAATAAGTTGAGACTTGACTCAGTAGTACGAATAACTGAGTTGTAGTTGAAAGGAACACTAGGTGTTTTTAGTAGCCACTAATCAGTTCTTGTAATTCAGTCACCATTCCAGTGTGACTGAATTGTTATTTTAAGATAGGCATAGAACTTAAGTGTTATTCTTAGCTAAGAGACTAACTTCACAGTCGATTAGGTGTTGAAAGAGAAAGCCAATGAGTATATATATAGGCTTCTAAATTTAACACTATTATTATTATTCTTATTCTTCTTCTTCTTATTATTATTATTATTATTATTATTATTATTATTATTATTATTATTATTATTATTATTATTATTATTATTATTATTATTATTATTATTATTATTATTATTATTATTATTATTATTATTATTATTATTATTATTATTATTATTATTATTATTATTATTATTATTATTATATTATATATTATTATTATATTATTATTATTATTATTATTATTATTATTATTATTATTATTATTATTATTATTATTATTATTATTATTATTATTATTATTATTATTATTAGCTTTATTCAATATTATATTTTTGGTGCAATATAGAATTCTCAGCGCAAAGTATTTCAACATGTTTCCGTTTCTTTCTTCTTGGTCGGTCCTGGCGATAAATATTGAGTGATCGCCAGTTAGATGTTAGCAGTTCAGTAAATGAATATCTGAATAATGTGCATTTTTTTCGTTGTATATTGCCAGCAACCACATTGTCTCTTATTGAGTTTTTTGTAATTTTGACAACGAAAGGTTGTACACTTTTCAGAAACGCAATTGAATAGGTTATGCGATTAATAAACATAATGATATATTAAAACAAACAAAAATAGATAACTTGTTGAGATATCTAGATGGCAGGAACAGGTAGCCCAGATGCTCAAGCAGGCCGCCCTTTATAGACAGAGCTGGAGTTATTAATTTTACCACACTGATTTGTGTTCTAATGGGGATACTTCACAAGAGCACCTTATTTGGTTGACGCGAGCTACCATAGCGAGTAATGTCATAATTTATACATCAATCACTATAATTACTTCTGATAGAAAGATAAAGCATAATTATTTTTTTTTATTTTTCACCTATGAACCAAATAGACATTATGTCTAATATTTTTTTAAATACTTTTTTCTCACTAACAAACCCTTCAAGTTCCTTCTGGTCGACCTTGGCTTGATTCAATAGGCAAAACTCTATTCACTGAAAGGACTGAAACATTGCACAAATTAGAATTAGAAGATAGTAAAATAAATCGTCGTCGTTTTATTCAATGTGACAAACTATACACTGAAGCCAGTAACGAATGTGAAAAAGCATGGTTCAATATAATTGACCAAGAAATTAGTACGTGTAATGCTCCTATACTTCCGGAGGGTAAGTATGTTCTTTTTGTTGTAAACAATGACTTAAAATTTGAAAAACATTCGACCATTTTTTACTAGAAAATATTTTCTCACTCACTTCAAATTAAGTTATGTTAGCAAGCAATCAAATTGTTATGTTCTGCTACTGGTAAATATGATCCTGCTCGCGAACTCAACTTGTTACTCAAGTGAGAACATTCAGAGTGAAACGTAAGTATTTTTTGGCAAACAACAGAGAAAACACTACAAATTCATATATATATATATATATCGTAAATATTCAAGCCATACTATCCTACCAATATGCTGTCTCATTGCTTGGAAAAGGACACCGCGCTTTGCCCAGTCATGTAGGCTTATCACCTGGCCGGTGTTCTACTGTGCCACTGTATTACAAATCATAAAAAATAACTTTTTCTTATTCGAGATTTGTCAGCTAAACTTGTTTTTATAGACTTTCCTGTTTTTAGAATGGCTCTTGGTGTTTGCATAGCTACACTACAGATTGTCGAAATCCTGGTTAATGTGCACCAGTTGAAATTTAATTTAACGACTAACTGTCTTCTTTTAAGATATATGTTATGTTCCCTGTCTTCGCCAATAATTTGACTAGTGAAATTTCTATACCCACTGACGATTAATAAATCCATAGAAAATTCATCCGTTCTCAAAACAACCAATCAGAAAGACTAATCAAGTGACTTGTGTACCTTGTATTATTCAAACTCAAAAACTCATATGATTTTATACATATAACACTCAAAACTGCAACACACGATAGATAAAAGTCTCAATACACACATACATAGGAATTTGTGATACAAAGTTAAAGGACAGGTATATATATATATGGCTCACATGGAATCCTGAAGGCCAAAGGAGGAGAGGAAGACCAAAGAACACATTACGCCGAGAAATGGAGACAGACATGAGAAGAATGAACAACAATTGGATCGGACTAGAAAGGAAGGCCCAGGACAGAGTGGGATGGAGAATGCTGGTCAGCGGCCTATGCTCCGTTGGGAGTAACAGGCTTAACACAACACACAGGATATCGTATCGGCATACCCTTTTTCCATAACGGATTTTAATTAAAGTTCTTATTCATCAACGTTAATGAGGATAATAACACTAATTGTGCTGATGAGTATACAACCAACTAACAGACTCGTTCACACGAAGTAAAGATATAGAAACAATAATGAGAAATGACGATGCAGTTAAACGACCTAACTTCTGAAGGCTTTCAGAAATATTTCGAACAGTGAAAACGGAGTTGAGACTCATGTATCACCACAAATAGAGGAGTTCCATAATATGGTTAAACGGCCGTCCACTGTTTCTAGGTTTCAATTGTAGTTTAGTTAAAATTATTTCATGATTTAAACTATGAAATACATTTGTTGTAACCTCAGTCATTATTGAACAGAATAGTATGGAGAATTTATGAGTACGTTTTGACGTTAGTCAGAAATAATTTCATGTATAATTTCTGATAACCAGAAGTAGATAGTTATCTGCCCGCTACCTTCGCACAAAAAATGACGGGATTTTGATTCCTCGTCTATCACATTAATAGGTATTTAAAGAATTTTTATGACGCCAGATAAAATAACGTTCATCCAAAATAATGTACAGCATTTTTAAGTACATGTTGAATAACTTGCTTTACGAAATGTGTCATTCTGCCAAGTTTGCGATTCATGATACAGAAAGCAAACATCTATAGACAACAAGAAAAAAAATTAGAACTACTGATTGTAACCCTTAATATGACTGTAAAGGCTATAATTTGGTAATCGAAACAGATTCTCACTGGTAATATACAAATAAGCTACACATATGATTTCTACCTCCAGAATCTTTCATCTCACTGAACCAGCGAAAATCAGAAAATAAAAGTCCAACCTGCGACTTCATAATTAGATAAAATATTACTCTTTATACATTTGTGAACAATATAAAAACCCAGTAAGTGTAACTGTGTGGTTCATGTAAATTGATTCAACAACAGTGTAAATTGGCCAATAAAGTTGTTCCGACCACATCTGCATAAATCAAAATCCGCAGTAGGTAAATATCTATTCAATCGATCAGTCATTTAAAATCTTGATTTCTATCTACTACAGCCACTTCCTATTAACTACAAATAAACGTAACGTGATTTATGCTTACTTTACCATCTTCAAAACTGATTTTGATGTAAACGATAAACAGAAAATGTTAACATAAAGGACAGAAAAACATTACTTAATTACGCCGGTTACTTTTCGTAGAGGAGCATAGGCCGCCCACCATAATTCTCTATCCAACTCTGCCCTGGGCTGTCCTTTTCAGTTCTTTCCACTTGATATTCATTCTCTTCATATCTGCTTCCAATTCTCAGCGCAATGTGTTCTTTGGCGTTCCTCTTTTTCGTTTCCCTTTAGGATTCCAAGTTAGCGCTTGCTTCGTGATGCAGTTTGATGATTTTCTCAATGTGTGTCCTATCCACTTCCGACATCGTTTCATAATTTCCTCCTCAGATGGAAGTTGGTTTGTTCTCTCCCACAGTAGACTGTTGCTGATGATATCCGGTCAATGGACATTCACCATCTTACGATATTTAGAATTACTCCTACCTTTTAGATAATGGTTGTGGTAATTCTCGAAGTTTCAGCTCCATACAGTAGAACTGTCTTGACGTTCGTATTGAAGATTCTGACTTTGATATTGGTTGACAGTTGTTTTGAGTACCATATGTTCTCCAACTGTAGGAATGCGGCCGTTGCTTTGCCAATCCTTGCCTTGACGCCTGCGTCAAGTCCTCCTTGTTCGTCGATGATGCTGCCAAAGTACGTAAAACTTTCCACCTGTTCTAGAGTTTCTCCATCAGATATGATTTGGTTGGTGTTCTCTGTGCTGTATTCGAGGATATGAAGTGTGGCAATTTAGACCGATGCATGTATGTTCCTGGTCCTACGTTGTAACTGACTGACTGACTCGAGGATATTGCTTCTTCACTTGAGTATGTTGAGGCTTCTGATACAGAGGCTGCTGCTACACTAGTTGTCTTCATCTGCATCTGTTCATGTTTATGGGATAGAAGGGCCAGGTCATCTTCGAAGTCCAAATCATCTGGTTGATTCCGAGCTCTCCATTGTATTTCATGCTTTCCCTCAGATGTGGAAGTCTTCATAATCCAGTCAACCACCAGGAGAAAGTGAAAGGAGGAAAATAATCAGTCTTGTCTGACTCCGGTCCTTAGCTGTCCTTCATGCACGACTTTGCAATGTAATCGATGGTGTGAATTCCGTATGATATTGACGATTTTCTCAGGTACACCATAGCGTCGAAGAAGTTTCCATGAAGCCCTCCTATCTACACTGTCAAGTGCATTCTCATAATCAGTGAAGTTGATGTATAGTGATGAATTCCATTCAGTTGACTGTTCAATGATGATCCCTAATATCGCAGTTTCGTCTGTACACGACCAATCATTACGGAATCCAGTCTGTTAGTCTCAAAGTTGGAAAACAAAAAAGAATAATAATAAATGCTCTTCGTAAAATTCATAAAATATTTTTTAAACAATTTCAAGAACTGTTCATCATTGCATTGGATACTTTGACACAAAGACTCGCTTTAACTGAATAAATTTAAGCCACTTCATTAACATGGAATCTATTCAGTTATAAAAGGCAAATGTGGAAATAAGTTATGGATAACAACCAATTAAAGTACACATCAGAGTTGACGATTTCGAACATTAGAATTTTCATAACTTACGAACAACAATTAACTGATTTTATGATATAAATGTAAAATAATTTAGTAAACAAGTGACACCTGAAAATTAAACCATAAAATTTTGACGAAAACGATTGTATGAGTTAATTAACTTAAAAAAGAGATAAATTCTCATTGGAACGATACAAAATATTCACTGAAACCAAGATAAGCAGTTTTAAACTAATCATTTGATCAATTCCAAACTTCCAGAAAGAGAAACTTCCTGAAAGATCGCTTAATAGAACTGCTAAATTAATAGACTAAACGTTGATAAACACATTCTTTCTGTAATGCATAATAAACATGTTAATATCAATAATATGAATATTTATCAAAATACTATTCTAAGTTATTGGAAAAGGATATGAATTATTTATGTAAATCTGTATTACTACTACCTTGGGTGAGGGTATTAGTTTTAGTGCTAGCAAATAAATCTCCTTAAGAATCATCTAAGGGATTTTAAATAATAATACTGAAACTTTGTTAAAAATGGCACTTACTATGAAATCACTATAAAAATATTCAAGCGGTTGATTAGTATGGAAATTTCCTAGAATAAAACTAACTTAAAACCCATGGCGATAATATCAAAAGTTACATGATAATAACTAGAAAACACAGTGAAATAAAATTTAAGAAACTAAAATAAAAAAAGGATTTATAATTATCAGTAACATGAAATAAAATGTTACGCGGTTACATATCAGAAACTGAATCCGTCAGGATCGCAAGGAACTGACAATTCTGTCTTTCTGAATAAATCAACTAGATTTCGATAATTTTAATCTAGGTAGATGGCTTCCACAGAATGTAATGAATTCGGAGCTGTTTGTTTACTTGTTGATTATTTTGGAAGATTTTAAAATTTCAATATTGTATCCACTACTAAAGCAAATAAAGGATAATCCCACTGTTGAAAACATATTGACTTTTTAGTCTCAATTTCTGTGGAATGTGGTGAGAGAGATACGAACTATAACTGTGCTTCCTAGTCCTTCAGAGTATGTATATGTATATATGTATGCACATATATACAAATTCACAACTACAGTTAAAGGTAAGATGAAGTTTGAATCTTCGAATTTTTGTCTTGAACAACAAGCAATTCGTATGGTACAGATAAATTAATTTAGCAGCTGGACGCATCATTTTCAATACAACACTCAGTCTAGAATTCTGTTGAAGATATTTATACTGGTTAATTAGTAGGCTTATAAAACTTCATTTTAAGAAAACTTTTCATCACAGGCTAACATAAGCCATACAGTTATTAAAAGACAAATACCAACCTCTGATCTATCCTCGTGTTAAATAAATATTGTCAGCACCATACGAGATTGAACTCAAGGCCTTCAGGTCTTGGGGTGAGCACGATACAACACAAATGAGTCGATATCCAACAATCCATTTTCGGATTTAATTTTATGTCTTATCCAGTGTTGTTAATGACTAGTGGCCTTATTTCTAACGCGTTTGGTTCAACTGTGTTCTCACTAGTATTTTTTAGTAAGTCTATTTTGGCAGTTATACATCAGTTAGAACACGGTTATATCAACTTTATGTCGACGGTCAGTAGATCCAATAAATTACCAGGGATTTATTTAAGATCCATATGTGATTAACGCTATTTGTGCTTACTTTTAATTTTGTAGATATGAACAACGTATCGTTCCCACCAATAGTAGCAGCCCCTCAACCTCAGATAAATGGGCCTGTATATGATTCCACAGGATTTCTGATGCCATATCCCAATCATTTTCCTTCAGATACTTGCTGTAATGAATATTCTGCTGTATAATATATGCTTAACCAAATATATACATACTTTAAAAATAATTTTATTTGTTTTCACCTTATTTCGATTGGTTGAAAATAATATGGCAACTATCCTACAACCAATTTCGATTATGGTTAATTTTGGTTAAGCCCTTTTATTAACTTACTTAATAGACAATCTTATTTGAACAGTAACAATTCTCGTATTTCTTAATGCCGTTATGATCACTGGAGCACATGACAGACTAGCTAAAGTGTTGATCGCTTAGATATCACTCGATGATTCATCCTCCTCCCCATATATAATGTACTCAAATCTTATTATTAGTCCTTGCTGCGCCCTTATAGATTCTATTATAACGGTTATCGAGGTGAACGATTAGCGAAGCATCTATGGCAGTCTCAATAAATATATGCGATTCTACTAATTTAACTTTTCACATAATCGACGGGAAATACGAATTTCCAAACCTATTAGAACAGAAGGCCAGATGAGTGTTCACAAGCACTTTTTTACTGTATTTCCTGTTCTCACTGATGTCGCTAATTCAACACAGCGCACTATAAATAACAGGTTACAGTTTGTATAAAATTAGGATCTTTTTGGTACTAAGTTTCGGTAATAGGCTTATTACTAGCTTTCACTAACCTATGGAAAAAAACATGATAGTTAATGAATTAAACTGAAGGTTAAAAGACTATAAATTAATCATGTAATGAATTCATAATAAATATATGTATGGTTTCCAAGTCTACCCATTTTCATTTATTCCCCTATTTATAACACCTATTATTTCGATTCTTTTTTTTGGGTCTTAACAATTTTGAGTACTGATTATTAGCAAGCCAATTTCTCGGCAATAATTTAAAACCTTAAAATATTGATTCACAGATGTTAGCACTACTGATGATATATCTGACAGATTTTCGTAAGTATATCAGTCGTTCGATCCGTGTTTTATCCTGCATAGTTGAACACAGACAGTAGTAGATGCCCAAGAACAGTCAGTCAGTCAGCTACAACGTAGGACCAGGCACATATATACATCGGTTCAAGTATACCTCACTAACAAAACAAGATGGACACCGGATTCATAAAAGTAGTTAATTCAGAGGTGGTAGTATATAAAAGAAAGATTGCAATAGGGATATAGTACAGGAAGAAAGAATTAGTACGTAGAAAGAAGGATATGAAGCGATTTTAATCTCACGGTTTAAAGGAAGACAGAGAGTGTATACACCTACGCCATTGTGATCGATTCTGAGTCATGTCACCAAGAGTCTCCAACCATTGGTTACGATAGTCACGCGGACCCCAACCAAGTAGTCTGCATGGCTCAGACTAGAAGTTAGTGACTTCAAGCACTGATGCCACGTTTTGGTTTGGCCGCCTCTAACTTTCTTCCAACCATCTCCAACACCGGTTAGCATTGCACGTCGTGGTAATCAGTGTTCAAGCATACGTAACACGTGGCCCATCCCTCTCAGTCAATGAAGATTCACAACCTCATCAACTGATTTACCATCATTCCCTAATACCCTGCCGTCTAACCTCACTATTACTTACCCACTGATATCAGCAGATGCGAGCAATATTTCTAAGGCATCTGTGACCAAATACTAGTAGTTAACGAGTATCTTCTACTCTTAATGACCAAGTTTCGCAGCCGTTAAGTGGAACAGAACGAACTGCTACGCAGTATACTCGGCCCTTCATTGATAGACGGATATCTCGCCTTCGCCATAGGTGACGTAAGTTGACAAAAGCTAAGCGAGCTTTTCGAATCCGTGCTGAGATTTCGTCAGACACCAACCCATTGGAGTTAATCAGACGTCCAAGATAAGTGAAGTTGTCAACGCGTTCGACTACTTCACTCCCTATCCTTAGTTCAGGTGTTGACGCAGACCAGTCCTGAAGCAACAACTTGCATTTAGAGGGAGAGAAGCGCATTTCAAACATTCTGGCATTGTTGCTTAGTGCTACCAGAAGACTGCATTTTATCAGCGTCTTCACCAAACAGGACTATATCATCTGCGTATTCTAAGTCGATAAGTGGACCTCATGGAAGCAGATCAATACCCGAGAATTCAGTCGACGAGAATGTTATTTCCATCAGTAGGTCTATGATGAAGTTAAACAAAAATGGAGGATGTAGACAGCATTGACAAACACCACTTGAGGATGCAAAAACAGATGACAGTTCGCCATAAGCTCTGACTCGACTAGTAGTGTTCGAGTAAAGAGCCTTCACAAGGTTTATGTACGCCTGAGGTACACCTCTCAATGACAGACACTGTCATAGGATCTCGCGGTCTACGGAATCAAATGCTGCTTTTAAGTCAAGAAAGATCACCATTGTCGGATGCCGATAAGTATGCCTGTGTTCTAGAACCTGACGAATGGTGAATATGTGGTCGATGCAGCCACTACCAGATCTGAAGTCAACTTGATTTTCTCGTGTTTGCAGTTCACGAGTCTTAGTTAGGCGTCCGACCATTATCGAGGCTAGTATTTTAGATACTATATTAGTTGAACTAATCCCTCTATGGTTGTCACAGGATGATTTTAACCCTCTCTTATATATTGGGACGATAAGTGATTGTGACCAGCCAGATGGGATTACGTCCAACTCTCAGATTTTAGCTAAAATATTAGTAAACCTAATCGCTAAAATTGGACCATCATCCTTAAAGACCTCTGGAGCCAATCCATATGGACCAGCTGCCCTTCCTCGTTTCAGATTAACTATAGCCTTTTGAACTTCTGCTAGAGTTGGAGGACCTACTTCAATGTTCCATTCACACTGTCTGGGAATGGTGGGTAGTTGTAGAGTAGCTGAAGGCCAACCGAATTGTTCTCTGAAATGTTCCGCCCATCGTTCTAAACGTCTGGACTGAGAGCAGATGAGGGTCGTCTTTTTCCGAAATAGCCTGACTTACACTTGACTTATTAATTCCAGTTTCTTTTATTAGTCTGTAGAGCTGTCTTGTGTTCTCTATAGCCGCCGCCTTTTCCATCTGTTTTGCTTTCGTTGCCCACCACTGCTCACGGTCGTTCCTTAGACTTTTGCTTAACCTAGATCTGATTTGTTTTCGCTCTTCATCGTGTTCAGAGCCTGATGGGATGAGTTTACGAGAATCCATCAGTGCAATAGACCTTGAGGAAATCCATTGGTTCTTTGTAACCCTGTGGTTTAAATCATTGATAGATTTCACTGCTGTTTGTATAGCTTCCCAAGCAACATCTGGGTCAACCTTGATTTCAGAACTACCTAAGTGTGACCTCAGTTGTTCCTGGAACCTACTTTCGGTTTTCTCGCTACTCAATTCAGTTCTAATGGGTCTTTTTAATGTGGCATTTTTGCGTCCAGTGAGGCGCAAGCAGATTCGTGCCCGTATTAGGGCATGGTCGGAGTCCAAGAAGGTACTCCAGAATGAGCGACAATTTTCTACCGACCCTCTCCAACGATGACTGATGGCAATATGGTCTATTTGAGTCTATCGTTGGTTTGGTGTAGGGGGTCACCGTGTTAGACGATGTCTCTCCTTACGCTTAAAATTGGTGTTTGCTAAAAATAAACGATTGTCTGAACACAGTTGCAGCAGACGATCACCATTATCTGTTCGCTGAGCCGGAATACTAAAATACCTACCTAAATGTCCTTCTGTTTGGTTTAAGCTACCTATCTGGGCATTAAAGTCACCTGCTACGAGTACTATGTCTGAACGTTTAGGTTTCTGAAGTTCAGAGAGCTTTCTGTAAAGTTCATCCGAGCTGCAGTCAGTGGAAGCGTAGGCAGAAACGACAAAATGGCAATGACGTGTGTCCTTATCCTTCCGAGTTCTTACGGAGCCGTTTAGCTGAACAGCACGTAAACGACTGTTAACGGGGATCCAACAACAGATTGTAAACAATGTCCACTCGAATTAAGATGACTTACTCCAGCCATCAACTAGTTAAAATGAAACTTATCAGACTACTTTTTCGCTTTACTATTGATGAAACCATTGACATACGTACAAGAGGTTCAAATCATATGCGCGGAAAATTCTAATTATCGTTTTCTCCTGCGATAGTTGTAGTGTCTTTATTTGGGAACCGTCACCGTTCTCTAGTGACCATTTGTCGATTTATTTCTCCAGTCCTGTCTGTTCACACTTCATCTTCAGATTTATCTTATTATATTATCCGACCTACCTTAATTATTGATCTGTAATTTTTTAAACACCCTATAATCTCTTCATAGTATTATTATCACTATTATGCAACACATGTGTATTTGCGATTTTACAGCGTCAAGAATGAAATCAGTGGGAAAAACCACTGTTTTTGCCTTTCAGTGGTGCACTGACGCGATCCTAAGACACCATTTCCAAATGCAGCCACTCTATAGTGATAGTCATCTTAAACCAGTTCGTAAACGTAACGGAGAAGACACTGGCGCACGCATCTAAAGTGCTGACCGGCAATGTAAATTGGAAAATAATGTAGGGTAGGCAACTTATATTACTAACAGATCACAAATCCTAACTAAGTCTTTGTTTCCAAATAAGGAGTATCCGGACTTTGCACTGGGAAGTAATGTTACTGGTTTCAGGTGTTGACGCACAGTACTGACGATGTGAAGATTTTGGACATTCTTATAATTATACAGCGGGCACCCGGACAAACTACAAACAAGGCTACGCTTGCTATAGTCCCGTCTTAAGTTGTTCTCCATCATTCCGGTAAATGGCCAGGCTAACAAAATAAAACGAATAACCAGATAGATTTGACAGGACTGACCATCATCTGTAAAGTTCAGACGGCTATATCGAAGATTTCTATGTATTGCAAATGCCTATGAAAAAGTTAACCCACTAACACTACGATGGATAGAACCATGTCAATCTATTGCAAGCACTCAGATACTGTTTATATTAAGTCTGTTGCTGGTAACTGCATTCTGATCGAAGATGGACCCTTTTAGTAAACAATTCGATGAGCCATGTGCAGTACCGACAAAAACCCGAGAAAGTTCCAGCAACGCGAATATGCACAGGTTTCTGAGGCCAT